GCGCCCGCCTGGGTGGCGGAGAGGCCAGCAGGGGCGGGGGGCAGCCTGGTAGGTTTCGTTTCCGCTCAGCCTTCCGGGGGGTGGGGCGGTGGCGTGAGCCCGTTGCACTGACGGCAAAACCGAGGCCCGAGCGTTAAGGACGCAGCGTTAGTTAAGCGGCAGAATTGCTAGTAACCTGTGCCGGGGGACTCCAAAGCCCAGGCTCCCTCTCCAGTCCTCTCCAGAGCAAAGTGGGACTTTACGGAAACGCTGAGAACGACTGCGGTCCCGTCGCCATTGCCTGCTCACTTCCTCGGGATCAGGGCTTTCCCGGTGGGACGCACCGGCTCGGGGGGTCCGGGCTCCACCCAGGGTGGTCCCCGCGGCGCCCGAAGCCCCAGCGGGCTCGACTTGCTCGCCGTTTGTAACACGTCCGGAGTGGTGGGAGTAGGCGTTCTTTGGGGAACTTGTTAGGCTTAGATGCCCTACAGTGTGGCTGTTGGATCACCCGTTTCAGTCACCTGGGCTCATTAAAAGTGTTGGTTTAGGGCTCTTCCCTAAGACACTTCGAATAAGTTTCCAGACCTTGGCCGGAATCTGCGTATGTAATAAGTGTCCTGTGTATTTTTGAGGGACCCTGAACTTTGAAAATCACTGGACATCGGAGGCATTTTGGACAAACGGGGTAGTAGAATACTACTAGTGACCCATTTTAAAACGACCCAGAGAATCGCAATGTGACTTGAAACTCAGAGGCCCATATGGATATGTGCAGACCAAGATCCACCCTGATCTTGGACAGAGAGGAAGCATGATGATTATTGATTTGAGATAATTTTCCCGTAGGGCTCTTTTGAGTAAGTGTTCTGTAGAAGCTTTAAGCCCTCTTCACTATGTTCCTAATTAGCTCATATTTCTTAGAATTCATAGCTTTTCCTAATTGTCCTTATTTTGGTAGACATATGGGAGACTGGATTTCCAGGTCAGCTTCAGATGCATGTTTTGTCTAGTGGTGGATAAAGAGGAATTATTTCCCGATATTTGAAAGGTTTGTAATGCAGACAAGTCTTTAAATAATCTAAAAAAAAATCTTTAAATAATCTTGATATAAACATTACTTCTAACTCATATATGTGTGGGTGAGGAGGATTTTATTTTCTTAACACAGTACTGTGTATCCTTAAATCTTGTTCTTGGATTTTGTATCCAGGAAATATGTCGGCGGTTTATATTTTTAGTCCTCTTGGAGGAATATCATCATCATCATCATCATCCTTGTCAGTTTATTATTTCTAAATTTATGTTGATGTTATTCTGTGAATATTTGAGATTAGCACTGTACTAACCTTTTACTTTATGAGAAAGCAAAGGAGAAAGGATAAATGTCTTCTTGAAAGTTAAGGCTTCAAGTGGAATTTATTGGTAATCTGGTGATATAAAGATCCTTTGAAATTAAAATTTTAGTTATGTTCTAAGGTTATCTAGCTTCATAGAGTGCATATAGAAAACTAATTTCTTTTAAAAGGTATGATTTACAGCATAAAATGATATAAGGATGAGCCATGCTGTATTTTGCATAGTTCAGAATGCAGATTTCATATGTCTGGAAGGCAAGTGAAATGTTTGAGTTATTATTATTATCGTTAATATTTATTATGGTACATTTTCTATGACTTTGTGGCCAGAACCATCAAAATTGCTGGGATAGTGCAGTGGACAGTGGTACTTCTCAGAAATTCTGAGTGTAGAGTGAATTCCCAGCCTGTTAGGTACATAAGCAGAGAGAGCAAAATTATTACTTTCTTAAGGGATGTTTTTAGGGAGAAAACTCTCTCCAAATATGTTTAGCTTATTTTATTTTTTTTCTCCAATGTCAAGTGAGTTAAGAGGCTCATTTACAGCCAGTTAATCCTTAAGGGTTTAGTGAGATAAACGCAATGCTTTTCTGTAAAATGGAAGTGTTGGAGATGATCTTGGGGTTCTCTCGGACTCTATAATTAGGAGAGGGACCCTTGCTCCAAGTCAGAGAATTATTCAACAATTGCTATTTTGTTACTTACTCGGAAGGTCAATATTCTCAGTGCCTGGAAACTGGTACTGATAAGTAAAATCCAATGGATCATGGAATATCCTTAAAGCCTAAGCAGTTGTGTATCTCATGACTTAATAGTAGCTTCACTGGGGTTTTTTTGGAAAGCCATAGACTTTTTCAGAAAGCAACTACCTGGAAGTATGCCTGACAGGAAGCTGCTGAGACAGAAGAATAATTCTGTGGTCCTGTCACTTACATTCATCTAGTAGTTTTCGACAATCACTAAGTATAGACTTCAAGACTTTCACTAAATAATCTTTCAAACCTATAATTTGACACAGCGTGTCTGTAAAACCCTTTTTTTTCATCTTTCTCCCTTCAAAGGATCATTAAACATTTGATCTTAAAGATTTTCAAAGCCTGAATCGGGATTCGAGCGGAAAAAATGTCAAAGCTTATTAATCCAATCATTTAATTTTATTTCATATATCAGGAAAATGAGTTTCAGTAACTTGACTAGGGTCACACATGAAGTAGAACCAGGACTTGAATACAAATCTGGGCCCTGTAATCTGTAGGGCATAGATAATGTTTATTTTTCCCTGGCATTCCACGAGTGTGCTAAACAGATGCTTTGTTATATAGGCATGGACTTAAACTGTTTAACAAACTACTTATATGAAAGGGCTCCTTAGTTGACAGATAATTTGCCTCAAAACAGGTCCAGTGAAATGTGCTCTTTTATTATATCTGAAAGATTACTGTACATTGGCTAGGGGATACTGAAACTCTTAACCATTGTTTGCTGTTAAGCTGTGTTTTCAGTATAAGTATGATTTGTGGTTAATGCTTTCTTTTCTTGTTTAGATATTGGCATTGGTGGCTAGCCAGATTTGTTAGGCTGTGGTAGTGTGGTCACTCCATGTTTGGTTTTTTTTCTATTGATGAAGCTATTATATTTGACTTATTTTTCAATCCATTCTTCTGAAAGAAGTGTAGACTATAAATGAATTTCGAAGTAAAGGATGGATGCTGGTTGAAGTGTTTCTGTTTAGAAACATTACAAGTAAACTTGACCTATTACTGACTGTTGCGCATTTGTGTTCATCCATCCTCTCTCCCCACCCCTCCTCCCTTCCTCTGTCCCTCTCTCCCGCTCCCAGAATTATAGATGAAGACTTTTCTTTCTCACAGTGACCTTTGGCTTGACACTGTTTTGGTTACTACCAGATCTCATCTTTTAATATTATACATTTTAAAAGAAACAAGTTTTCTCTATCTGCTCATGGGGACATAGGTCTGCATTAAAGATGACATAGGTGGTGGGAGATAAGGCCAGAGAAGGGAAGAGGAGCCAGAATTTGAAGACTTTCTATACCATGAAATTTATTAAAATTGTGTTCCAGTTATCACAATGACAGTAGACATACTAGCAGTTTCTAACTTAATGATTATTTTATAAAAACTTAAAATTTACACTTAGTAATAGGAATTATTAAATACTGATTGTATGGCAGGCTGTATACTTTGTGCTTTATATGAATTATCTTATTATTGCCCACTTTGAAAGAGGCCCCGTTTGACCTACTATAGAAATGGAGAGATCGAAGTTCAGGGAAGTTAAGTAACTTGCCTAATGACAGTGGTAGCGCTGGGGTTGGAACTCGATGGAGCTGAGTTCAGAGTCCCAGTTCTGTTTCCATCCCACGCTGCTTGAGCCAGGCAGGAGTAGAACCTGCGGCCATCACATACGACCACTTTCTTTCCACACTGTCACTGTTGCTTCGCACTGTGCCTAAGTACATAATGGGCGCTTGGAAAATGTCGAATAAATGATTGATTGAACCCTAACTAGAGGCAGAGAAGTTATTCTTTGGATATCATAATCTGAAATAATGTTTTTTTCCCATAAAAAAGTGTTATGAAATTTTTATAATATATGAATAGGTTCTTCGTAGGCCTGCCTGTGGCATTTTCAGGGCATGAGACAACCGTACACACGGAGGCCTGCAAGTCATCGTCTAAATCAGGGTTTCTCAGCCTCTGTGTCCTCGATGTCTTGGACCAGACAACTTTTGGTTTGGCATTTGGGGCCTGTCTTGTGCATTGGAGAATGTTTAGCAGCATCTTTGGCCCCTACTCACTAGAAGCTAGCAGTAGTCCTCCCTGTCCTCCGGAGTTGTGACAACCAAAAATGTCTTCAGACATTGCCAGATATCCCCTGGGGGGCAGAGGGGCCCCTGGATTGAGAATCACTGGTATAAACACTTTAATGTTATAGATGAAGCCGTGCCCACAGCCTGGCCTGCTGTTCCATCCAGGGTCCCCGCAGGCCACTCCTCAGAGCTCGCCTTCCCTGCCTGGAGGTGCAGGGAGCCTGCAGGCCTGATCCAGTCAGCAGTGACCCTGGACTCGCATGGACCCTGTCGGTCTCCTTCAGGAAGCCAGAGCGGGCAGGTTCCCCTCCCCTTATTCCTCACTTTTTCATCTCAGGAGTTCCAGACAGTTCTAAGCCTCCCAAAACTGTGTCACCTGAGCGGAGGGGTTGGCATGAGGAGCAAGTCTGCTTTCCGGGCACTCCCTCTGCCCCGACTCCCGCTGTGCGTGGTTCGCAGTGGGCAGCTTTAAACAGAACAGCTGCACACGCCTTTCTCTGGCTCTGGCTTGTGATTTCTACTGTCACCTCTCTGACCCCTCCCCAGCCCTTACATCCTTCTCAAGGGAAAAAAGCCCTTTGTGATTTGGGAGGCAGAGGCCCTTTTTTCCTAAGTCAGATAAAGGTACTGGTTCTTAGGAGAAAGCCATGGTTTACCCATCACATAGCTCAACTTTG